CCTCCCTCCCTCCCTCCCTCCCTCCCTCCTTCCTCTTTCTTCCTTTCCTTTCCCTTCCCTTCCTTTTCTTTTCCTTTCCTTTCCGAGTTTTGCTATTGTTGCCCAGGCTGGAGTGCAGTGGTGCAATTTCAGCTCACTGCCACCTCCACCTCCCGAATTCAAGCGATTGTCCTGCCTTAACCTCCTGAGTAGCCGGGATTATGGGCACCTGCCACCACACCCAGTTAATTTTTGTATTTTTAGTAGAGACAGGGTTTCACCATGTTGGCCAGGCTGGTTTGAACTTCTGACCTCAGGTGATCCGCCTGCCTTAGCCTTCCAAAGTGTTGGGATTACAGGTGTGCGCCACCGCACCTGGTCTTCTTTCTTTCTTAATAGAGAATTGTGCCTTGTAAACTTAAACTGTGCTGTTTTAGAACGCAAGTTTTTTATATGGCAGATTTCCATGAAGAAAAAAATGTACTTATTGATTGAATTGTGCCATTAGCATTAGAATTAGATTTATAACAAATATGAACACTGTAGTAAACTTGCAAACAAAACAAAGCAAAAAATTGTACTTGTTATCCCCTTGTTGAATCTCCCCCTCTGTTCCAAATTAATTAGATTTTTGGTAACTATGCTAAACTTTGTCACATTCTTATTAAAATGGCTTAAGAATTTTGAAGAACAGCTCAGAGGGACTCTGAAACTAATCTGAGTCTGGTACTGCAGATTCCATTAGCAATTGCAAAACTGATTAATCTTTTACCCAGTTAGCTTATCGATCATCACTGCAGTTACTGCCTGTAATAGATTATGCAAGGGATAGCAGAAGAAAACATGTTTTATAACTGCTGCTGACATATTCAGTTTGAACATAATATTTTGTACTCTATATAATTATTTCTGCACTTTTAAGTGCTGGAATACTTCTAAGATAGAAAGTGTGCTTAATATTGTTTCAGTATTACAAGATGTACTTTTAAATTTCTTGACTATTAATGCATTACGATTTACCAAGTGTGTTCACTAATTCTATTGCTGCAGTTTAATTTTTGAGCCTCACAGTAACCCTATGTATTAGGGTAAATATTCCTCATTTGGAGTAAACTAACATTTAATAAAGTTAAATGACTTCCTGAAGGCTATATAAGTTAATGAGTGGCAGACTCAGAATTCAACCCCATTTCAATCAGTAAGTATTTATCAGACACCTACTCTGTGCAGAGTCTGTATTAGGTCTAATAAATGCCAGGACAGGATTATAGAGGTGAAGGTGAAGTTATTTGGATAACTTTAAGCAATGTTATGGAGATTACTTTGTTATATTTTGGTCCAAGCTATTATGTTCAGTGTCTTGGTGTACCGGGTTTAGGGGTTTTTTTGGTTGCTGTTTGTTTCTTTGTTTTTTTCCTCGTTTTGGTTTTGGTCATTATTGCTTATTTTATCACTATTTGGAGCAAAATTGGAAATAATCCCTTTAAAGGAAGAGTATATAGAAATGACGCTGATAGATCCAGATCTAAAAGCAATTTGCTGGCTAGGCGTGATGGCTCACACCTGTAATCCCAGCACTTTGGGAGGCTGAGGTAGGTGGATCACCTGATGTAAGGAGTTTGAGACCAGCCTGGCCAACATGGTGAAACCTCATCTCAACTAAAAATACAAAACTTAGCTGGGTGTGGTGGTGGGTGCCTGTAATCCCAGCTACTTGGGAGGCTGAGGCAGGAGCATCACTTGAATCTGGGAGATATAGGTTGCAGTGAGTCACAATTGTGCCACTGTACTCCAACCTGGGCTACAGAGCAAGACTCTGTCTTTCAAAAAAAAAACCACAAAAAAACAAAGAAAATAAAACCCAATTTGCTTTGCAGTTTATTAGTTACTGTCTTCTCCATTTTCCCATGTGAGCCTCACAGCTATCCTCTGGGTAGGTCCAGAGGTTAGCTATGAGGTCATTTGTAAAATTAAGATTTTACACATGAGTAAAGTGAGGCACAGTGAGCATTTCGTCACAGAGGTCACGTGCTGGGAGATGACGGCTAGTGATGAATCTCCTGGGTTTGAGCCCTCTAAGTCTTCCATGTGCCTTGCTCATCTCACTGGGCAGCAGGGACCTGGTGGCCAGTCAGGACTGCTCTGTGCCAGGAGGTACGATGCATGGCCCTGCGTTTTATCCTTCTTCCATTGGGAATGCTCTGTAGGCAGTAGCCTGAGCTTCTAGGCCTAGTGCCTTGTTGGTGGCCTGCTCCTCAGGGGTCAGTTGTGTAGGGGCCCGCACTGTGAACTTGATTACCTCCCTTTACAGTATGTCCTTGTTGGTGAATTACTTTGCTATGTGGAACATAAGCTTCTCCACTAATACAGACACAGATCAAACACAGTAGTTCAGCAGGAGAAAATACAGTTGGATTTAGAGGAAATAAAAAAACAAAAAACACAACCTAACTACTTGCTTTAGAGAAACTGTTAAGTGGCATACTTAATATCACCACTGTGACTATGTTAATCGTAGTACAGAGAGATGTTTGTAGATGGCTTAAAAATTCTCACAATGGTTATAAAGGTATATATAGTTTGCCAGTTGATTTGGCACAGACCAAAAATGAAAGGAAAACCGTTTTTATTTATTTATTCTGTGAGGTAAATAAATAAAGCTGGAAAACAGGTCAATTTCATGCATGCAAGGTTTTATAGTGGCAAAAAAATGCATTGCACCCGTTCTGACCCTTTACATTTGAGGTTATTTGTTTTCAAACTTGACCCCAAGCACCAGTTTTAGACATCTCTATAATTAACTTGTTAGATAAAGCATAAGGATATTTTATTTGTCTTGATTTCTAGGTCAATGGCAAAGTAGTAACTGAAATTTCTAGCCTATTGTACGTAGCAGTTAATTAAAGAAAAGCATTAACTATAGGAGAACACACCACTGCTGTTGTCTTGTATCAGTACAAAAAGGCAGTAATTTTTTTGACAGCTACTGATTGGAAAGTTGCTTGCAGCCTTCCAGAAGCAAGGGGGTACATGCTGTGGATCAATAACCGGCAAATTTCCCATTAAAAAGAATACCTGAGCAATGTTCCAAATAGCCACTGGCATCTTAATTTTCCGTGGAAACCTCAAATACTTGTGTGCCGAGGACCAGCCATTTTCGGACAATTTTTCCAGACTACTTGTTAACAGTTATTGCTGTCCCAAAAGGTTGACAGCCTGCATGATTGATATTTCATTTACTTGTCATCACTGTTTGAGTAATGGAGAGTGCTGTATTTCTGTGGCTTTAAGGAACAGAATCTCGTGAAAGACATTTGCCTTAGTATGTATTCCAGGAAGTGTGTTGCACAGGTTTATGCTGTATGTATATAAGTATTTTATGTCTGTAGAAGGAGAGAATCACTTTTCTTTCCAGTCTGAAAGCCTCTGGAGAGCTGGGTACACTTATATCAGTCCATAGCTAGCCAACATCCACCTTCACTTTGTTATAAGTGCAAATAGCCTTAGATGTATTAACTTGTGATTCCCAAAATGATGTAGAATGTTATAGCTCCCCTTTATTTTCAAGAGAAAAAAAAATCCCCTTGCTCTTGTAATAATTGTAATGTACATAAAAGCAACAGGAAGATAGATGTGGTATCTTCTAAAAGAAAGAAACTCTTAAAGAATGTCAGCAAACAATGGTAATCAAGGAGGGATTTCCTAAACATACAGTATTTAAATAATATGCACGTGTTTTTAATATAAAAACAGCGAGGATAAAAAGGGTGTTCTGCTCTTTGACAGCCCCTCAGAACATAAAATCAGCAATTTTCATTGCGGATAATTTTCTGCCATGAGCATCACTTTGTTGTTTGTCAAACGTTATAAGATGTAGAGCAAAGAAGACATCTCCAAATTAGGTGGATATATGCTCATCAATTAGCATATTGAAAATGTCGGAATCAGACCAGAGTACAACCTACTGAATAGTTTGTGATTATTAAGGAGTGTGAAAGGTTTTTCACTTAGAACTTTATTTTTTTTGCACAGAATTTTACAGTGCAATTTTATCCGTACTAAAGTGTTTATAAGACTAAAGCATAAAAGGATGTGTGTTTGAAACTAGGCTACCTTTTAATCATGTTAATCCTGTCATCTCTGGATGGGATGACATATATCCCATCTTGTTTCTTGTTTCCACAGTCTCTGTGATTTAGATTCCCATTATCTGTGCATTTTATATACAACTGTGAATAATGTTCGATTAACTGGCGTGTAGATCCAAGCCAGATGTGAAGCGTCTTCATTTTGCTTTGCAAAATCCAGGGAAAAAGAACAAGAGGCAATTTGGGAAATTCTACTAAAATACTTTATGTATCGTTTAAATATATATCATTTTCAAATATTTCTTAAATACTAATATAAAATCTTAACACTTTTAAAGATAAATGCCAGGGTGAAGGCTAACACACTGGACTTTTAATCGTAAATATTCACTATAGTCATTTTGATGTGCTGGTAGGGGAAAAGTATTTTCAAGGCTGATATGTATATACCAGCAATTTACAGAAGTACTGTGAATTAAACAACCCATAAGTGTCTGTTCCAGTATTCATACATTACTGAGTAATCTCTTTCTATAATCTCTTTGCAGTATTATTCCACAGTAATGGAACAGCAAGTAAATGGACAGTTAATAGAACCTCTGCAGATATTTCCAAGAGGTAATGTTGAGCAAATTCTAATCAACAATGATTATTTCAGTAAACTGTTTCATCAACAGTTATGTTTTCCAAAGGTTTAAATGCACATAACATGATGTTTAGCTCTTAATTCGAAAAACAAAACAAGTATTCATTAGCGTGGGGATTGCAGGCTATATTATAGTTATGGCAGATAAAATATCTAATTTACTAGAGTAAATTAAACTAACTAGATTGTTTTTTGTTTTTGAAGCACATACTTACATTAGCTTAAAGAACTCTTTGGGGTCCACATGGTTTGTAAACCAAGGCAAATGAATGACTTTAATTCTGGATATTTATAAATTGTGGCTCATGATGGTGGCCAAAGCTGCTATTGAGGAGAAAGCTTTCAGCTAGTACAGAAGCTAAGATTTACCGTGGCATTAGGAGAGAAATTTTGGTGGAATGTTTGGTGCTTGTTTTTGGGGGCAGTATTTTCTAAATAATTGAAATTCTTCATAAATAGAAATTTGATTGTCTCCAAAAATGTGAGCTGATGAAAGTAAGTATCAATGACTCCCTCGGTCAGATAATTTTCTTCTTCCCTTTTAGGTTTGGCAGCACTATCCTTATATCAGATATGATTGTTCAACCATGTATAAATGTTCCCTCAAAATTTGAATAATGGTGAAAAAGAACAGTTTAATTATATAAACCATTAAGTCTTTCACCAGTTATACATTGCCCCACCTGGAATCCATGTTTTCTAACTAATGGAATAGATAAGGAAATTCTCTAAGTAACCCTTCTAGAAATAACTTAATTGAAATAATTAAAAGTTAAACTTACCTCCGTTAACTGATACTGTACAAATAATCATGGTATGAGTTTTCCAATTAAACATTCTAGACTTTCATTACCTGTAACTCTCTGAAGTTTGAATGGCTCAATTAACCAGTAGGCTCCTATTTGCACTGATAAAGTCTCCAAAGGCAGCTGGCTTGGCCAACCCACAAGAAGATCTGGGTTCAAGAATAATACTGCTCTTCTAGCATACATGTGAGCAGCAGAATTGGGAGTGTTTAGTATATTACTATTAAGTTATTAAAGTGCTAAGTAAGTACGATTGGGCTATTCAAGGCCAGTGATAGTCCAAAACAAGGATTATGATTAATCCACTTCTGTTGTATTTGAAGAATAAGCACCAATACAAAAAAAAGTGAAAGAAATGTTGCTATTTTCATGTATTAGGCCAAAGATTAGGATGTAGATTATTTCTTAATGTTTACAGTGACTGGAGAATTTGGTCAAGTTTCAAAATTGTTTCTTCACAAGGAATAGTATTTTACAAACTGAAGATTTCCATTAATTTTTGTATGGACTTTATAGCTCTGCCACAGCAAACCCTATTTGCAGTATCCTAGGGAAATATTCTTCCAGGCAGGCCACAGTAGCTCATGCCTGTAATCCCAGCACTTTGGGAAGCTGAGGCAGACAGATTGTTTGAACTCAGGAGTTTGAGACCAGCCTGGGTAACATGTCAAAACCCTGTCTCTGCCAAAAAATACAAAAATGACCCAAGTGTGGTGGCACACACCTGTTGTCCCAGCTACTTGGCGTGCTGAGGTGGGAGGAAGGCTTGAGCCCAAGAGGTTGAAGCTACAGTGAGCCATGTTTATGCCACTGTACTGAGTGACAGAGCAATACCCTGTCTCGAAAAAAGAAAAGAAATGGCCGGGCACAGTGGCTCACACCTGTAATCCCATCACTTTGGGAGGCCGAGGTGGGCGGATTACCTGAGGTCGGGAGTTTGAGACCAGCCTGACCAACATGGAGAAACTCCATCTCTACTAAAAACACAAAAAAGTTAGCTGGATATGGTGGTGCATGCCTGTAATCCCAGCTACTCAGGAGGCTGAAGCAGGAGAATTGGGAGGTGGAAGTTGTGGTGAGCTGAGATCATGTCATTGTACTCCAGCCTGGCCAACAAGAGCAAAACTCTGTCTCAAAAACAAAACAAAGAAAGAAAAGAAAAGAAACATACTTCCAATGTTGTGGGTCTTCATTTTTCTCTAAAAAATTTTTTCGTTCTCTTCATCCAAATTCTTTCAAATTTTGTTTGTTTTCTTTCATTTTGTGAGCAGTCCCGTCATTCTCACTGTTCATGCCATTTTGCTTCTTCCCATGATAATCACAACCATTTTTAGATGTCTGCTCTGTTAAGGCATTAATATTGCTTTACACCTCATCATTTGTAATCCTTTCGATAGTTCTGGTATTAGGTATCATTGTTGCCAATTTGTGGACAAGAATATTGAGGTTCAGGGAGGTTAAGTAACTTCAAAGTCTCATAACTTATAAGTGGATACTATGCCTTTAAATAAGAATTTCATTTAAATTATAATGTGATTAAAATGGAAAGGCATATATATTAAAATATAATTAGAATGTGCAGGGGGGTAGTTTGGAGGGCTTGTTTTGGTGTGGGGAAAATGGTATATTATGGGGAGATGATACTTAAAAGAGGAAAAGACATGATATATCAGTGTTGCATGTAGTCTTAGCATAAAACCCACTAGGTTGCAATAAATTGTTAAATATAGTCTTTATAAGCCAAATTTAAATATTTCAGAATATGAGACTTTTTAGTTCTGTGTTTTTTTATATGCTATGGTATAATTGTTTTTAGCTTTTGGTAGTCTTTTGCATTTTGCCACCTGTCTACATCGAATGTACATTTTATCATATATAGATAAGTGAAATTATGCAAATTTACAAAATCAACATGTAGGTATACTGGGTATATTTCCTGTGTCTACCTAGTTGGTTAGACGCCCTCAGACTTTAAAATCTATGGTTAGACCCGATGTTAAAAAGAATCTTTAGACTGAACAAGTAGGAAGGATAGGAGAAAATGATTCTTTTTCCTTTTTTGTTTGGAGACAGAGTCTCACTCTGTCACCCAGACTGGAGTGCGGTGTGTGGCTCACTGCAGTCTTTATCTCCCCAGGCTGAAGCAATTCTCCTGCTTTAGCTCTTGAGCAGCTGGGACTACAGGCATGTGCTACCATACTGGGCAAATTTTATTTATTTATTTATTTATTTTGAGACAAAGTCTCACTCTGTCACCAGGCTGGAGTGTAGTGGCGCAATCTCGGCTCACTGCAACCTCTGCCTCCCAGGTTCAAGCAATTCTCCTGCCTCAGCTTCCTGAGTAGCTGAGATTACAGGTGTGTGCCACCATGCCTGGCTAATTTTTATATTATTATTATTTTTTTTATTAGAGACAGTGTTTTACCATATTGGCCAGGCTAGTCTCAAACTCCTGACCTTGTGATCCGCCTGCCTCCCAAAGTGCTGGGATTACAGGCGTGAACCACCACGTCTGGCCAATTTTTTGTTTTTTAATAGAGACAGGGTATCACTATGTTGCCCAGGCTGGTGTCAAACGAGGATCACTGTGTTACCCAGGCTGGTGTGAATAGAGACAAGGTATCACTATGTTGCCCAGGCTGGTGGAGCTCAAACAGTCCTCCCACCTCTGCCTCTCCAAGTGCTGGGATTACAGGTATGAGCCACTGTGCCTGGCCATAATTCTGATCTGATAACATGTTGTCCTCATTCCAAATAGCACAATTGCCTTGGATAGTAACTACCAGGTCATAGCAAAGTCCTCTCTGTTGTTAAAATATATATTAAATATTAATAAATACGAACATTTACTAGCTTTATAGTAATTCCTGACCTGATAACTTTAGGAAATATGAGGTTACTGGGTTTTTTTGATTGTGGTTTATGTCTCCAACTAAAAAAGTTTGAGAAGTCAATTGAGGAGTGAGGCATATGTTAAGTTTAGAGATAAGAGTTGATGCTTGTCTCTGATTCCTTGGTTAGGCATTATGTTTAAATGAAATTTATGAATGCACTGCTTACTTCAGTGGAAATATTTTGAAGTGTTGTCTTATGAAGTATTGATGGTCCCTCAAGGACCAGGCATCAAACTCATGAGACTATAGTTGGTTCAAAAAGTTAATTTCCATTTTAAGGAAAGAAGATTTTGAGTCTTAATTTTAGTGCATTTTAGAAAGGTAAGTAAAAACACTTTGTTACGGTTTAGACATATTTTCTAGGAAAAATAACATAATAAATTTGAGTATAATTGAAATATACAAAATGAAAGCAACTGATGTGTTTTATAATTATTACCCACTTTTTTTGTTGTTTGTTTTTGGGATGGAGTCTTGCTTTGTCACCAGGCTGGAGTGCAGTGGCATGATCTTGGCTCACTGTAATCTCTGCCTCCCCGGTACAAGCGATTCTCTTGCCTCACCCTCACGAGTAGCTAGGATTACAGGCACCCACCACCACGCCCAGCTAATTTTTTGTATTTTTAGTAGAGACATGGTTTCACCATGTTGGCCAAGATGATCTCGATCTCTTGACCTTGTGATCTGCTCACCTCAGCCTCCCAAAGTGCTGGGATTACAGATGTGAGCCACTGTGCCTGGTCATTACCCACATCTTATTATTAAACAGCTTTATTTCTTGTTGTGAGAAACAGGAAAACCACATGTACTTCTGAGAGAGGAACAACAACAACAACAACAAAAAAATCAAATGAATCTTTCCCCAAACAATCAATCAAAATTGATGGCCCCTCAACATACAATTTGTAGGGCACTATAGTTTTCAAATAGAAGCGTCTGTAACATGGGCAGAAGTCTTTTGTATTTTTAACATTCGTTGAAGAAGGATTCGCTGAATTGGAAAAGTACCAACCTGTAACTCAAGGTGGTGTCAGGAAATTAATATTCTCTTTTTCTGTCACTGCTTTATCTCTAGGACTAAATATTAGCACGTGTCAAGATTTGTAAGAAATATAATAAAATTAGTTATATATCTATATTTTAATACATTTGACTCCTAATGGCTATGCAAGGTAGTATTCACACTAGAATGTTCCATCTTAGAACCCCTAGCAATCTTTTTGGCATTAAAAGATCCTTTTCTCATCACCACCCCCCACTGCCGCTCCGCAAAGAAAAACCCTTAGCTCTTTTCAAAGTAGTTTAAGTGATAGCAGATATACAATGTAATAGAATGAGGACAGATTGCAGAAATTTGAATTATGAAAGGAATCTAATCATTTTAGCTCAGTTAACTTGATTTTTATATGTTTTAAGCAGAAATTGGAATTTATATGAGGTGGTGTGAGAAAGCTCTTTGCATTTATAAATGCTCACTCCTGCAAGTTAAAACCCTGGTTCATAATTCCCACTTTGGGTCTTGGGAGCCACTTTTCAATCATTTCTCTCTGCTAATTTTGGTGTCACCCTCATTTCTTTTTAAACGATTCATTTTGAACAAATTTGTAAATGGCCCTGATGTGTTCTACAATTTAGTCAATTACTGTTTCAGCCTGCAAGCCTCCTGGGGAACGGAACATACATGGCCTGAAGGTACGAATTTCAATAATTGTTTCAGTAAAGTTAGATGGATTTGTAATGCTGTGTTCCACTTATTGAAATGTCAAATAAAACTGCACTTTCTCAAGCTCTGACAAGCAATCCTTTTTTTTTTTTTTTTTTTTTAAATGGGAGGTGGAGGAGGATTCATCTGTAGTATTTGCCCAGTATCTGTATATATTTGGATACTGGGGGTTTGGTGCGGTATTTTTAATTATTTGGAATTGTGTTATTGGTCAGTGTCTTCAGGATGATCCTAGGTGCTGTTTTCTACGATTTATTTGAGCGAGAATATAGACTTCATTTCAGTGATTAAGCACATAAGCATATTGCACATGGAATACACTCCTCTTGACATATTTGTGCTAGAAACATATATCTAGTTAATGTCTTTTCATTCTGTGTATTTTGAATTCTGGATTTCTGTTTAGGGCTTCACATCTGAAAGAAAAGTTGGCTTTTGTATTAGGCTCAAATATTTTATAATTAATTACTTGGGCCTCATTTTTTTAGTGAATAAGAAACATTCTACATAGAGTGTTCTACTTGGTTGCAGAGCTAGAAGGATATGATAACTTGAGGTTCACTACGAACCCCTGGATATATACTTAATGTACTTTTTGAACATACTGTTTTTATATGTGTTCTAGATAGTGAGTTGGATTTTTACACTGTTTATCTCTCCTTTTTCTCCACTATTTAAGTATTTAATGGAATAATGACAGTCATAGAGTATTATGTAATGTATGGGTTATACGGTTCTGTAACCTATATACTGAATAGACTCCAACCGTGAGTCTGTCTAGCAACAAGCTAATTAACCTTCATAGTGAAATGAGAAATTTGTGGCAAATTATAGGTTAATTAGAACTGTGTCCTCAGAACACAAGACTGATCAAGATTCTTTCTTTACTTATAGGTGAATACTCGGGCTGGACCCTCTCAACACAGCAGCCCAGCAGTCTCAGATGCCCTTCCAAGCAATAGGTGAGAACAAGCAAGTGAAGTGTGCCCTTGGTGTGATTTATCTACAGAGTTGGGGTGGAGTGAGGAAGAAACTAGAAAGAAATTTGACTAGTTAGATAACCTAGCTACATATTGACCAAAGAGAAAGGACCTCATATAGAAAGATGAAATGTTTAGATTTAGACTGGCTGCTCAAGGAAGGCTCTCTGGGGAGTGTTGGTGTTTCTGTTTTGACCTGAAGGATGAGAAGGACATCAAGAAGCAGAGAAGGGTGTTTCAGACAGAGGAAAGAGTGTAGGCGAAGGCCCTGAGGTGGAGAAGTTGCTCAGCATGTTTGTGTGTAGGCCAGTTTGGCTGGAGCACAGGGAGGGGTTCTGGGTTGGGGAAGGGGTGTGGAGAGAGGAGATGAGACCAGCGGGAGCGATAGGAGCTAAGGAGGCAGACAGGACTCATCGTGTGGGGCCTTGTAGGTCGTGTAGTGTTTGAATTTTCCTCTCAGTGCACTGGTGAGCAGTTAGAGGGCTTTAGTAGGAGAGGGACGTGGCCAACCCTATGTTTTTAAAATATCCTCTGCCTGTGGTGTGGAGAATGAGCAGAAGCTCCCATCTAATCCTGCCCTCCTTTGATGCTTGACTCCCTACCCCTTGCCAAGTGGTCATCAAACCTCTTCCTGAGCATCCCTGCGAGAGGAATGTACTTCATCAGCCAAGGCAGCTCCTTCTGTTTTTTCTTTGGCTACATCTCAGAAGGCTTTTTGTGAGCTGGGATTTGTCTTTCTATAGATTAAGTTTTAGTTTAGCCCTCAGAATGTGGTTGTTCCCTCTTCCAGGTGAACAGCTCTTCCAGTTGTCTTCCCTCCAAATGCACTTCTAGATTTTCTGTCTCAGTAAATTCTCCCACATCCTGTCCATTGCTAACTCCAGATAACTTGTGAGTCCTCCTTCACCGCTTTTCAGGCCTCCTTCAGTACCACATCCTGTCAGTGCCCAGACTTGCGGGTTCTACCTTCTGAGTAGCTCTGAGTCTTTCTACTTGCCAGCATTCCGGCTGCTGTGTGGGTGGCTCCTGCCCTCCACATCACTGCCACAGCCCCCTGAGAGTCTCCCTCCTCCATTCTTGCCCCATTCAGCCCCTCCTCCACCCTGCAGCTGGAGCCATCTTGCCAATGCACAGTCCTGAGCCTCAGTCATTCCCTACTTTAAAACTTCACTGCTCTTCTTGCTTTCGAGATGAAGTGTAACCTCCACAGCAGGTGAGCCGTGGCCCTTCACATATGGGTGCTCTGTGCACGCCAGCTTGCTGGCCCACCTCTCCACCCCATCCCACCTGACATTCCAGCTTTGCTGATGAAAACATGGTGCCCTGAAGGGATCACTTTCTTCTCTTTACTGGGCCTGCACATTTTCCCATTTCTTTTCATCCCTACCTCGACCTTCAGTCTGGCTAACCTTGGTTATCTTTGAGGACTAAATTATCTTCTGAAAACTGTCCCTGATTACTACCCATCTCCCAGTGCACACCAGGGACCTCCCTAGGAATTCCTGTGATACTCCCATGCTTCCTTGTGTTGTAGCAGTGAGCACAGTATATTATAATCACCTCTGTCCTCCGGTGGATTCTATACTCTTTGAGGGCAGTGACTGTAGCATATTCATTGACACAGTTTCAGTTCCCAACATGATGCTTGCCACATAGGTTATAGTCAGTCATGTTTGAATGAATGAGCGTATGTATGAGTATACTTGTATTTCCTTTACATCTTGCCTCTGGACTAAACTCTCCCAACTCTTTCATCTTTTCTGATATGACATTATTTCTAGCCCCCTCATTCTTTTACTCTTCTTTGGATATCTCAGTGTCTCTCTTCAGGTGCTGTACTCTAGTTACAGTTGTAGCACACTGAAATTTTTTAATGTTTTTATTTATTACTTTTTTAGAGACAGGGTCTTTGCTCTGTTGTCCAAGCTAGAGTGCAGTGGTGTGATCATGGCTTACTGTAGTCTTGACCGCCTGGGCTCAAGTGATCCTTCCACCTCAGCCTCTCAAGTAGCTGGGACTACAGGCTTGCATCACAATGCCTGGCTAAGTTTTTTTTTTCTAAACTTTTTTTTTTTTTTTTTTTTGGTAGAAATGGTGGTCTTACTATGTTGCCTAGGCTGGTCTCAAACTCCTGGGCTCAAGTAATTTTCCCACTTTGGCCTCCCAAAGTGTTGTGATTACAGTCATGAGCCACCATAGCTGGCCTTAAAATGTTTTTAAAAGTGATTTTTGGATATCTTAGGTCACTGTGAACATGCAGATAAATGAATTATTGAGTAAACTGAGTCACAAAGAAACTGCCACGATATAATTTTCTTTTTTTTTTTTTTTTTTAACCAGACCAAGTTGATAGCCAGATAGATACTGGCATAATGAATGCAACAGTATTTTCCTTTGTTACTCTCAAAGCATGGTTTTTTGTTGTTGTTGGTTTTTTTTTTTGCCTTAGGTGTTTATTAAACTGAGCTTACTAATCCACATGGTGTTCTTAGGCAATAATTACTGAATTCAAGTCCCATTGCCAAGGCAAGGCCTTTCCTAAACAACTTAGCTTTCTCCTTCTGTAAATTAGGATGATTAAACTTTCCATCTATCTACTGCTGGTATTAGAAAGATTGATGAAGCTGTATTAGGAGTCACGTTTTATTTCTTGGATGAAAGGCATTTTATAAATGCAATGAATCAAAATGTTATTATTTCAAGTTTATAACATAATGGAATATCTGTGTAGAAACCTTGCCTGAGCTTTCTTTGATTGTGTCTTTACAATAATTGAAACTATCAAATAGGGAGTAATTTGTGGGAAAACTAGGATCTGAATGTTTCCCAGAAAAAAATGTGTGTGTGTGTGTGTGTGTGTGTGTGTGTGTGTGTGTGTGTATAAGAGATAGTCTGACTTTGAGCAAGGTATGTACCTTATAGGTCTGTATTTTAGTATCGTTATAAATTAGGGATAATAACTATACCCAGAGTATAGTTATTATAAGGATAATAAGCACAGTGCGTAGCACATGGTCGTCACTCAATAAATGGCAGCTGCTGTTACGTTAACTGGACTGATTTTAGGCAGCTGTATTTTTTTTTTTCGGTGTATGTTTCAGATTTCATTCTATTCTACAAAATTGTTCATTGCCACTTTAGTGCATGGATTCTTAGACTTGGTAGGATATTATATTAATGTCAAGAACCCTTGGATGAGGACATACTTTATACAATCTAGGAAAATAGGGACTGAGGCTCCACAGTTTACATTTGACCATAGCAAAAGTTTAAGATGTATTTAGAAAGAAGAGTAATTGGCCGGGTGCGGTGGCTCACGCCTGTAATCCCAGCACTTTGGGAGGCCGAGGCGGTTGGATCACAAGGTCAAGAGATCGAGACCATCCTGGTCAACGCGGTGAAACCCCGTCT